ATGTTCATGCGAAATATGATTGTGTGTTTTGATGGGTGGGTACATTGAAAGTTTTTGGTGTACTGTTTTTTCAGAATGAGATGGGATCTTCTAACTATACCTTGATTTTCCTGATTTTTCTTCCCAAGAAAAACACCTGGAGCTTTACTTTTTCATGCTAGGAAAACATGTCTATAAATGCAAAATGCCACATTCTTTCCTGATGTTACTATAGAAGATAGATACCTACCTTGTCCTGAACATCTCAGTACTAAGAAAATCAGAAATAACAATCAAATATTGGCACTCTGAAAGGAGTATATGTTTATATATTGACTTGATCTAATTTGTGAGATAAAATGCATTTAAGTTGAGGGGAAGCCTTAAATCAACATCCAAGAACAGAAGTAAAACGGTGTCTATTTTGCTTTACAAATTGTGTGACCCAGACCTGTCTCAAGTTTATGATTATTTTTTTTATGGTTGCTTTTGTGTCATTGTTTTGGTTTTATACCCTACAAGAAAATTGTCTTCAGCTGTTAGCAGGTTTTGATAAAACTCAAGAACAGGATTGTGAATAATGTTCTGAAAACACTGAAGCACCATTTGTGACTTCTCTCTTCAGCTTGTTGTTTTCACAGTCTGAACTTTTCTCTATTGTTTCAGTAGTTGAATAGTTGCTGGGTAGCTCTTCTAACAGTAAGGTCATATGAAGTATTTTAAAATAGAAAAGTGTCTTATAAGAATCAATTAGTTCTTTCAGAATTCTTCTGAAGGTTTTGTTTCATCTTACAACTGGAGAAACTGAGGTTAGACATTATAACTTACCTCAGGCTTTGGAGTGCTTAAGTGTCAGAAGAGCGAGCAGTGGTGAGCAGGCTGCTCTGACTTCTGAAGCTGGCTTGATGCGTTTGTGCCTTGAACTTTATTATTTTTTAATCGCTCTGGCTGGCAGCAGGGAGGAGGGGGACCCTGAAGGCTGGACCGATCTCTCCAATGGATGGGCATAGCTGGGTTTCACAATAATGGCAGACAGTAGATTTTTGTGTGTTATGATTGACAGCTTGCAAGGCCTGAAATTGTTGAGAGGTTGGTTTTTTTCTTGCCTTTTTGGGGTGTGGGTTTTTTTGTTGTTGTTGTTTTGAGGGATTTTGTTTATTTGGGATTTTTTTTTTTCAGGAGGGGAGAAGGGGAAGGGTTGGCTCTCTGACTTCTTGGTTGCTTGCTCTTTGGGTATGGTGTTCTTTTAAAACAGCATTTTAACTGATCTTATGCAAAGGAAATAGCAGGAGAAAACCATGAAATTCCTATCAATTCCTTGATAAACATAGGGGTGTCTCATGGAGTGGGAGGGAAACATCTGTATACTGTGATTCAGCAGTGTCTTATGAGTGCTTGTGTTTGAAGGGCTTTTCATTGGCAATTTGTCTATAAATTTGTTTTGTCCTTTTTACAGTAATATATAAGCCTGTATTCAGTTGTCTTGATTTTCTATAATATAGCCTTACATGCCCAGTGATATAACACCAGTTGGAAGCCATCTTTTATCAAGTGTTCGTTTGTTTTTTTTTCTTGAAAACATGCAGTCCTAGTCAGCACAGCCTGCCAACTCTTGTGAAAGACATAAAGCCTTGCAAAGGCAATATAGTTTTCTGTTAGTTAGCTATCTTGTGTTGAATGCTGCCTTTTGTCTTCACTTCTCCCTGTGAAAGAGCAAAAAGGTTCAGTTCAGTAAGCTCACACTGGCAGAGTGCTTTGCAAGGCAGTTGGTGTAGAACATGAGCTTATCGTGTGCAACTCATTATATGCTAAATCACAGTAATGAGCTTCATGTAGTGTTTGGATAGTTTACAGGGACTGAAACAATCCTGTGAATGAAAGAAGATGGCAAATCTAGAGTTCAGCCGCTGAAAATTACCAGATTACCCACAGCAGACTGTATGTAGGTGGCTGTTCTGGTGACTGGCTTCAACTTGCTTTTAATTTCTTAGGTAGAGGTATCAAGCCTTAATACCTGATGTTAAAGCAGAAACATCAATTAGCACGTTGTTATAAATATCTGCATTTCCCAGATCACAATATAATTATCCTGATAGTCTGTTTGAACTGCTGATTAAGACTGTTGCATATCAGATTGTGCAGGTAATTACACCTGTAGAATCCAGTGGGTGAAAGTGGGTGTGTTTAAGTGTAGTGGCTTAACTGATAATGAGTTTGAAATTGTTGTAAAAAGGAAAACCCCAAAATTACCAAGTGCCCTCGAGATAGAGTTGCCCTCATGTCTTAAGAGAATCTGACCCCATGAGTAAGAGCTGAACTGTGATGGTGTTGGTATGGTTTGGGGGCAGGGGAGCAGGATTGGGTGTGGGAAATCACTAATAGGGGCTATGTAAGCATATCTCTTAATATAAGCATATCTCTTAATATTTTATTTAAAGAATTTAGCAGCCTTGCCACTAAAATTATCCATCATGTTCCTCAAGTATTCCCTCAAGGGAATATTGCTTTCATTCCAGTTTTCATATAGAAGCTCCTGCATAGCTGAGGCAAGGCTGAAATAAGCAAAACTTTCCTGCTAGGGATACCTCAGGAATTTCTTTTTCTTCCCTAAACCAGTGGATAGAGGATGGTATTTATCAGTACTCTCTGGTTGTATGCAGGATTGGTACATTTTATGCATATTTAATAGTGTTATTAGGAAGTTGATTGTTGAGGTCTGTTTTGGTTTTGGATTTTGTTTGGGTTTTTTTTGTTGTGGTTTTTTTTTTTTTGGTGGGCTTTTTTTTTTTTTTTTTTTTTTTAAGTACCTTAGGTTCTGTGGTATCTTCTGGTGTAATAGATGTTTTTTACTTGTAATAGGTTGCAGGTGGCTAGGGTGCCATTTTGTTAGGCATTTGGAAACATGTGGGCTGGCACAGTTTTTAACCACAGAGACCTTGAAATAAAATCAGGCTGTGTAAGCTGAATGTGCTGTTGATCCTTTTACTCTGTCAGAATGCACTGCTGCATTAGGAAGCAGAAAGAAACGTGCACCAATGCCTTGTTGCCTGTGTATCATAACCAAAATTCATCTTCACGAGCCTCTGGAGCCTCAGACTCAGTCATGTATTGTACTCAGAGCAGGTCACTCTTACGATTGCTGGGGATCCTGCAAGGGCCGAGGAAGGCATTCTCAGTCTTGTAGTTGTTCTCTATGACTCCTCAAGTAATAAAGATATGGAGACACTGAAAAAGTTGTCATACTTTAAGTATGAAAGCCTCTTCAGAAGCCACTCCAGTCAGGTGTATTTTTGGTAGGCACTTATTATATGATTTAAAATGCCTGCTGAAGAAGTTTAGCGATTAAAATGTTTGCTTGATTGAACATAATGTTTTAAAGGGCAGGAATCCTTTCTTAATGACTTAACAGTGAAAGGGTGCAGAGTGATATTTAACTAAACTGCCATATAAGTGTTGTTTTCTGTTACCTTTGCTCTTTTGGCAACAGTCTTGGGCATGCATGAAAAGTAGTAATGGAACCAACTACTGTCCTCTGTTTGTGGCTATGTGTGTATTGTTATATAGTATTTGTTGTCCGCATTAAGTGAATAGTGATGTTTCTCTTACAGGACAAAGCAGTAGCCTCTGTAAACCCCAGAATGCAAATTACTGAGCTAAAGAAGGGCTTGTATTGGAGCTTTTTTTTTTTTTTTCCCTCTTACTCTTTTATGTGTACAATCTATGCCCTTTAGTACAAAGTGTCTTTAACTATAGACAACCGTCACTGTGTATAGCTTCCACATACACGCAGAGTCCAAGGCGTAACCAAGTGGCAGGAAGTAGCCAGGAGGAAATACGTACTGGAGGTGGACTGTGGGCTTGGTTCAGAACTGGTGCCCTCATGCAGAATACTTCTGTTTTGGTTGGGTGTTTTGTGCCCATGCTGAAGGAGAAATAAAAACAGACTGCTGCGCCTTCAGGTGGTGCTTTGCTCGTCTGCATCCACTGGGTTCCTGGCTGATGAGCCTGAGGTATGTGACAACAGAACTATCCTCCCAGCTGAGCATGATCCAGGACTCCTTTGTAAAGAGCATCCCAGGGCACTGTGATACATAACACGTTGACAGTTTTAACTCTGACCCTTCTTCAGTATTGTTACCCATGCTGTTGAGGTGATCATATACATCTGTAGAATCTTGTATTTTCAATGAGGCACCTGCAGACTTGCCTGCTAATGTATGTACCATCTTGTGGTGGCTGATCAGGTTACATCAAGATTCTCTTAAAAAAAAATATGGTGGAAAATCTTGGGGTTTTAACGTAATGGGAATGTTTTAGCTTGCAGTTTTTCTTCAGTAGCATTTTAAATGGTGAGCACACATTGAATTAGACAGGTGGAAGTGGATGAAGTTTAAAGTCTCACAGGTAAAAACATCCAGCATGTTGCATAGTGGCATTTGGAGCTGTGAAGGGTGGAATTTACAGATTGCAAAACTTGTGAGCAACTGCTGTGTTGTAAGTTTTTTAAAGAAAATCCAGAATCCAGCATATGAAGGAAATCCAACTAATTAAAACCACCCAGGCTGTTTGCATTTTGTTCATTTTGCAAAGTGAATGTTAATGTTTGGTGCTATAAAACTATGGTGTGGTACAGAATATTCACTCTAAAAGTCCTTTTGTTGTCTGTACACGATAGAAATCCTGATTTTTGAGTTTTCACACATGGAAAAGAATGTTCCAACACCTGCCTGTAATTGCGGGCGTATGCATTCCTAATGCAGAAGGTATGCACTGCATAAGAAGGTGATTGAGCTAAGTGGAGGAAACACCCAATACATGCGTATATAGAAGATGACAACTCATCCTCATTGTTTTAGTTTCAGAGTAGGCTAATATTTCTAAACATGAATAAACAGAGCAGCTGGCAAAACGCAGGTTCATGCCTGGAGCCTTCCAGGCTTCTTTTCACTCAGTGCTCATCTGCTTGTGCAAGCACAGTTCCATCCTCCTGCTGCCTTGTGAGGAGGAAGGAGCAGCTCCTGCTGCCGAGGTGCTTCCAGCTCTCTGCAGTCGGGCAGGAGCTGGCGTTCCCAAGGCCAGCTTGCTGCCGCTGAGGAGACAGCACTCATAGACCCTCTTTGATTAGGATGTGTCGGTGTTGTCAGGGCAACTGTTAACAGCAGCGTATCATATTTTCTCCTCTCGTGTGGCGTGCTGAATATTTTAGTCTGCTGTAGCTGGAAGAGGCTTGCAGGAGGAAGGTGCTGCAGCAAAGAACCCAGAGCTGTGGGCTGGGATCTGATTTAACAGGTTAAGACAGTGACAAGCAGCATCCAAACTAAAGTGCCTTTAATTAGGGCTTTTCTTGAAGGTGGGGAAAGATTTGCAAGCCTTTTGCTGCCGACTGGATGTTGGTATTTATCATCTGTTTGCGTACTGCTTATCCATAGGGGATCTAGTACAAGTGCTCAAATGAGCAGGCAGTGTTGCAGCTAGCGGCTGAGTAAGGGCTGGAGTTTCTTACTTTTTTTTTCTTAATAAGCAAGAGGCAACAGCAACATGTCTGGTTCAGCTACTGCCCTGCGACAAGAGAGACTGAAGAAAAGTGCCAGGACAAATCCCCTGGGTTTATTCACCATTAACGAAGAGGATGAGCAGCAAAAGAATGAGAATTCCAAAAGACTGAAAGGTATGTTGTGATTCTGCAGTGTGACTGGGGCTGTGTATGAAATACGCTGGACAGCAGGCACAGTTTCTGTTTTTATTAGCTCTTCTGTGTGCTTTAGAGACTCTATGTAACTAGTGCAGTTTGGCAAAGCATATTGGCACCCACAAACGCACTGTGCATGAGAGATGCCTGTATTTAAATCCCCTGGTTTGTTATGCAATCATCTGCTTCAGATAGGAAGAAAAAGATACTTTTTAGTTATTAACCCCATTTTTTCTGCTAGGGACAAGGGTCCTGAATCAGAAATATATTAGTGAATTTCTGTGTGTTTTCTTTGATTTTTGCGCACAGTTTGACTAAATACCTGTTTAAAAAGACAGAATACAGAAAGCTGCCTGTTATAGAAAGCAGTTTTGCCAAAGACAATGTAACATTACCTATACTTCCATTCATGTGCATACAAGGCAGTGTGCCTTTGGCAGAGTATAGAAAAATACACATTGTTCAAATATGACTTTTGTATGTCTGAGGGGAGTGGGGACACCAAACAACAAAACACCCATAAACACAGAAAACCCCAAACCCAACATATTTTAACTGCTAAAGAAAAATATTTATGGTGTTTAACTTGGGTGAATGGAAATGGTAGAGGCATGCTGATAGCCACTGGTTTATAACAGAGGTCTGTTAAGATTATGTAGCCCCTGTCTATCTTATATCATGTAATTAATGTTTCCCACATGGATCCTAGGATTTAAATTCTGTGGGTCTGGCAGAGATCCTTCACCTTACAATTGTGACTGGAATTTTAAGTGTGATTGTTAGAATTTTTATTTTCTTAGTGATCAAATAATTCCATTTATATGAGCACTCCTTTTTTTATCTTATGCAGGATGGGGGTGAAATGGTAACAGATTTTTATTTCTTTGTTTACAAAACAAATGTTACTTTGTAGCCTCCAGACAGTGTTTCAAATTTCATATGTTACCATTCTACCATGTAATAGGAGAGTCTAGCAAACATTTAAATAGCAAATGTATAGTATGTATATTTATTAGAGCTGAATCATTTACAGCTAACTGGTTATTTTCTTTTTCTTAAAGGAAAAGGATGGCTTGACAGCTTTTACAAACAAATTCAGAACTCTGATTTCTTTTTGTTTCTTTTTGAGTGTGCAGCTTGTACTTTGTTTTCCTCAGCATGGTAAAGAATCTGACAGATTTAGTGACATGACAAAATACATATTACCAGTCATTGTTAATGTTCCTAATGTGTTCTGGTCTTGTGTACATAGTTACCTGCTCTTCTTTGTATTTGAAACTGCCCATATAAAATGGAGATATAAACTCTAGTGTGATGTTACTGAGGTTTTTTAATGTTTTAAGAAGCATATTGCTTTCCCTTAGCATCTACTGGATGGCTTCTGGAGTCAACAGTCCACAGAGCTAAGAATCACCAATTTTCCTGGTTTTGTTCAATGGCACTGATAGTTTCAGAGGGTAAAATTTCTTGTTGATTTAGTGTTTTCTACTTGCAGTGGTTTTACAGATGTGATTATCTTTTGAATCTCTTGTAACTGAGAATCCAGTTTCTGTTAATCTTTTTTTTCCTCTTGTTGATGTGAAATGTAGATAGACAAATATGTTCAGAAGCACAGACAGCAAACTAACAGGTGCATGTAGTTTTAATAAGGTAAAAATTTGGTGGCTTACCTTGAATGCTCCTAGTGAGAAATAATGTAGGAGTCTGTACAAAATATTGTGGAAGTACACTCATTTATTTTTCTTTTACTAAAGACTTAAAATGGCTCATACTGTCTATGGAACATCATTTGCACACTAATATGTGTAGCTATTTACCCTTCTGTGCATTTGAATGTGTTATCAGTGGCTAGATGGGTTAGAGTTGGAATGCCCGGTCATGGAGAATGTATGTATTCAGGATGGTGTTCTCCCCTTTCCTTCATGGTACCAAACAAGGTCACTCTAGTGCTGCAGCTCTGAGCAGAAACATAAGATGTGTGGATTGACCCATGTGAGGCTTCCTTGAGTCTTTAGAGTCTGTTGTTCTGTTGCTACTTTATACAGGGTTTATCTCAATTCTTTACCTGTCCTGTTTGGTCAGCGAGCACCTGCTGAGATGGTTTCCCTTTCACCCCCCAAGCACATACTAAGTCAGTGTTACCTTTATGGGAGGTGGACTATGTGTCTTCTTCATTTGCCATTTCTATAATTGTGCTGGACCTTGTCTTTGTACAGCAGAACAGTTCAAAATCCAAGAGGTCTTTAATGGATCTAATACTCCAAAGTAATAAGGCAGCTTGTTCCTCCATTAAGGATATTTTAATATCATCAGAAGTTTTAGGATAATCAACATTTTGGTAGTTCAGGTTTTCTCAGAATACTGAGGCTTGGTTAGTGTTTGTATGAGAGTTGTTTGTCATGTGGGAAACATTTATGTGGATCATAAAGTGGCTATCATTTGTGAGATTCTCTGTAAATTGATTTTGATATCAGCCATTTTTTTTCCCTGTCTTTGTACTATAATCTGAAGTCTAGTGAGCAAGGAGTTTGTTCCTCCAGTGTAAACAAGTAATGAAGTGAAAGTGTTTTTTATCTAGAGTTATTAAAAACCTGCAGTGATCTTTGTACCCATGTGCTCCTGATACTTCCTGTCCTTTGATGTGAATTGTATTCACTGCTTTTTCACCAAATATTTTCATTTCCTTTCCTCCTCCTGTCTTTGGGACAAGGCCTGCATTTTTGTTACATGTCTGTGTAGCACCCACTATTGCAGGGTCTTGAGGTCCAGCTGTTGCATAGTGCAACAGTGTAAATAATAGTTACTTTGATTTGCCTTTTTTACTTGTATTAACAGCCTCTATTCTCTCCCATTATAACATACAAGAATTTTGCAACATAGCACACTCTTCAAATACAATTTGTATGGGTTTACAGAAGCTTATTTTGTACTTGAATTGTTTTTTGTTTTAGTCACCAGAGTTCTAGCAGTTCTGCAAGTGTATCCTTAGAGAGACCAGACAAAAAGGTACAGAACCACACACTTAACAGCTTCAGTGTTCCCTTAGAGCTTGTGCTGTAAACCAAGTATTATTTCTGTGACTGAAGATAGTGTGTGAATATGGTTCTTTATGTAAATCACAAAGATATGTCCAGGTAGATTAGTGTTTACTTAAAGGTACCCATCCTCTTTGTGTGAACTTTGGCCTCAGCTGTTCCTTGAATTCAGGCACAAGCAATTTAATTCACCTTAGTATTTCCCTCCTCTGCCCTGTTGACTTTGTGCACCTTGGATGTAGTCTTGATAACTCTTAATTATATGAAATTAAGTGATGCCTCCTCTCCTCTTCCTCCTGGGGGCAAATGCTTTCTCAGATATTGATAATGCTTTTTCTAAAGTTATACAGCATAGAAAAGTAATGCTTATGTTTCTGGATTATGAAATTGAATAATAACTGAAATGGTTGCCTTATGAGATTTATGGCAAACTAGTGAAACAAGTCTCAACTAACCTACCAGTGGAATCCTTCACCTGCCTGCTTAAATTTTAAGTGATAAGGGAGCATACCTCTAGTCTAAGTTGTACTGCTGTTAATACAAAGCTAGGCACACATGCTTTAGGTCTCTGAACAGTAAGATTGAATCCTTGTTATCTTGAAGGGCTTTTTCCAGTCCTTTGTTGCATGGCAGTGATGTCTGTGATTACCAGCATGTTTTGCTGCTGTTCCATGGGTGGTTATGTTTTTGTGTAATGCTTTTAGAAGTAAGAGAGAAAGCTCCCTCATCTAACATGACTGTTTATGTGCTTAGTCTCAGTGTTGTGCATGTATTAGGAAAATATATATTCCTTGTTAAATTCAGTTTGGCTAACTTTTAATTTGGGTATTTTGTTGCCATGTGTCTATACCCAAATACAAGCTTAAGATACCTGAAAGAAAAGGGAATTTGGCATCTGCAAGGGCATTAAACTGATAGTCCTGGAAACTGAAACTGTACACCTACAAAACAGGTACTGCATGGGGTGTGGAAGTGTAATCTTATCCCACACTGTGGAGTCTGTGCCTCAGGCAGGATTCAAAATGACAGCTTGGTCTCTGGCTTTCATCACGCTTTAAAGCAGCATAACTGCCTGGGATGGTGGTTCTCCCAATGGCGCCTCTTGATGCTAGTCAGGAGGCTGTCCTGCACTTTGTTTTGGGCAGAACAGTGAGCAGCTATTAAAGGCTGGTGAACTGTCTCGCCACAATCAAGTACTGGATGTGTTCATGACAGTTGGTAGCCTTATCTTGCCCATCTGCATCTGGGGCAAAGTTAGGGGAAAGAGTGGGTAGAAGGAAGCAAAGGTACCAATTCCCATTACAGTGTTGGTTGTGTAAAGGGGCAGGGCTGAGAACCTGAACAATGTGGTTTTGTCATCCTGCACCTTGCAGTGAGCTCTGCTAATGTTTCTCTACGTTTCCTCTTTCTTTCTGCTAGCCAAGTCCAGAAGTGGCCAAAAGTACCTGTGATTGATTTTCATTTTTTTATCCCCCCCCCCCCCCCCCCCCGGATGTTTATTTAAAAACAACTCTCAAAGTATCTGGGACATATGTTCTTTAAAAAATCCCAAACAAACCAACCCTATATTTGTTACACAGTTTGCAGCAACTGGGGCTGCAGAAGGAAATTGTAGGTGGGTTTTTTTTTCAGGAAGCTGCTGCAAAGCTGCCTCCTTTGTAAAATTTTGCTGTTAATAACGGTAGGTGCTGGGTAGCATGCAATAGCTTATTTATAATAAAGACAAAGATTATAGAATCATAGAATGGTTTGGGTTGGAAGAAACAAAGATCATCAAGATCATCTAGTTCCAACCTCCTGCCATAGGCTGGGACGCCTTCCACTAGACCAGGTTGCTCAACGTCCCATCCAACCTGGCCTTGAACACTGGCAGTGATGGAGTATCCACAGCTTCTCTGGGCAACCTGTTCCAGGCCCTCACCACCCTATATGGTGGTGATCCTA